GATTCCCCTGCCTCAGCCTCCTGAGTACTGGGATTACAGGTATGCGCCACCACACCCGGCTTTAGTATCTATTCTTTACTAAACCATGTATTCACATGTTTCAAAAATAAAAGATTTGAGCCCTGAGCTATGGCACAGTAGTACAGTCCTTGCCTAGCATGCTCAAGGTCCTGCATTCCATTCTCAGCAACATAAAAATAAAATTAAAATAAAAATGAAAAATACATAGTAGAAAGTCTAATCCCACCCTAATGCCTATGACCTTCCCTAAAGCAATCATTTTTATTAGTGTCTGATATCTCTCCAGAATCTGTGTGAATACCCGGATATATTCTTATATAACTGTTTTGTTTTTTTTTTTTTTTTGTACCATGAATCAAACTCAGGACCTTGCACTTGCCAGGCAGGTGCTTGTGCCACTGAGCTATATCCCCAGCAGGATGTACTCTTAAATCTTCCTTCTTCTTATACAAAAGTGGTGTATGTCACATTGTTCTACATTTTACTCTTTTCATCATACATTTTATTTTGAAGGCTTTCTGTATCAATACACAGAGAATCTCCCGCTGTCTGGACATATCATAGTGTGTCTAATAGTGTCTACTGTTGTTGAAATATGAGGGTGTAGAATCCAAAGCCCAGACAGGAGTAGGTACTGGGGCAAGGCCACACAGCAGGAAGAAGGGCCTTTCCTTCTTATGCCTAGAGAATCCTCCTTGGGTCGCTTTGAAAGACAGTGTAGAGGTAAATTGTTCTGACTTCTGTGAAGGGGCTCCCTTGGCTAAGGAAGCAGTTTCCAGGCACCCAAAAATATCAGAAGGAGGTGGTAAGCCCTAGATCCTAGCAGCCCACTTGAGAGACAGTTGTGAGAACGGATCAGGCACCTCATGGACACAGGGCCGTGAGTGCTGAGCCACACAGTGTTGGCCATTGGCCCCGTCCACTTGGACGCTGTGGGCACCTTGGTGTTGGAGGGTGCATGAGGGCGGTGCCTCTGACCACATGAGCGGGGCCTGAGGGAGAGGCAATGAGGACTCTGTATGGGCCCTGGAGGGGTCGGCCCAGGGACTGTGAGAGACAGAAAGGCAGACAACAGCAACGCCACATTATTGCCTCAGTGGGATGGGCTCAGGCAGCTGTGGAAGCCCAGCGGGTGAGGGGTGAGAGAGGGACAGTTTTTTGGGGAAGGCGACAAAACAATTCATTTGCAAGGTTAAAGTGGAATTGGTCAGGTAAAGAAAGAAAGGCACAAGGGCAGAGGAATGCTTCAGACAGGGGACCAGCACACCTGAAGCCGCAGAAGTATGAGAGGGAACCAAGGCCACCAAGGGAGGGGGCCAGACAGGGAGGCAGTTTCGGTCCCAGGGGGCATGGAGGGCCATACTGAGGAGCTGGCCTACCTCCCCACAGGCATGACAACCCCAGAAGCACCGGATAGGTGCCAGGCACAGTGCCAAGGGTGTTGTGAGAACTACAGATATTTCCTCTTGCAGCACAGCATTTAGGTAACATCACCGTCCTGCTTAAGTAAGTCAGACCTCCATGTTCGCAAACTCCACATCTGCAGGAACAATCGGCTACAGGTCAAAATATTTTTCAAAAACTTGCATCTCTATTGAACGTGTGCAAACATTTTGAAATTGTCATTATTCCCTAAGCAATACAGTATATACAGCTGTTCACATAGCATTTACATTACATGAGGTGTTACAAGTCATCTAGAGATGAATTAAAGTGTTTGGGAGGATGTGTGCAGGTTAAATGCAAGTAGTGCAGCATTCTATATAAGGGACTTGAGCACCCATGGGTTTTAATATTCACGGGGAGTTCTGGAACCAGTCCCCTGCAGATACAGAAGGACGACGGCAATTGCAAAGTCCCGCGAAGCTGGAAGTGGTGGGCTGAGATTTGGATCCAAATAGTTGGCTCTGGAGCCAGGAGGGTGGCAGGGATCCATGAATAATCGCAGAGAGGCTGAGAAGAGTTATTGGGATGTGGGGGCAGGGGGTGGGTACAGCTTGTGAGATTTGGGGCAACAGGGACAACCCAACCATCGAGGGCGGAAGTCTGCCGAATTCTCGCAATGCTTATCGAGCATACGCCAGGTTGTACCTTTCCTGAGCCCGACAGGGAGGCTGTAATCATCTTCATTTGGAGGAAACGAGGAGACTGAGGCTTTCAGCTAGGCCACCCCTCACTGGGAAGGAGGCTGGGAATGCAGAGGCACCAGGACAACTGCTTTGTCATTCTGAGAAGAAGGTGGGTTTCACTGGCAAAGATGACTTGGGAGACAGATACGGGGTTGGAAATTGACATTGCTGAATGGCGGCTCAGAGAGGTCAAGATAGTCTCCCAAAGTGACGCAGCTGGCAAGGTGACAGCTGGGATCTGAGCTCCAGCCAATGTCACAGTTCGCATCCCTCCCCCAGACTCAGCTGCCTTCTAGGAACGCATCCCCATGGCTTGGTATGACCCCATCCCCTCACACATCCCTCACTCACTCATCCATCCCCA